TCGGACTAAAATTATGGCTTTTCATATAACGGTAAATTTTAGAAATGCTTTAAACGTCAATATTTTGAAATTTAAGGACGCTAATTTACTCAAAATTGATACACCCCGGCTTACCATGTAGCGGCAACTTTCGGAAAGGTGAAAATCATATATTTAATATTTTCGCCGGGTACTTAATGTTCGGCTCCGCCCGAACTTAGACTTTCTTACTTGTTTTATTTAAATTTTGAATATTTTATTGTACTCAGACAAGGAAAAATGTAAATAATTAGAAATGTCTGATCCAATAGCACTCACAAATAGCAAAGTAAACATATTTTTCAAAGTTGTATTGTAATACAACAATTTTACTTGTAAAGCAAAAACAACACTTTTAAAACTGTTCTAAAAAAATAGTATAAAAGAGCAAGTATGACAAATAGCACGACTTGTGAACTCCCTATATATTTCTTTGCTTAAAAACACACATTTATTTTTATTTCATGTATTCGCACTAAAGCAAGATTAGTTTGTTAGCATATTTAAATTAATCAAAATAATATCCCGGGATCCCGGGATTACTAAATTAAGATCCCGAAATACCGGGATTCACAAAATGGTCCGGGATTGAATGCCTTACTACATGTGTGTGTAGCTCTATGTATAGTGGGATCACCTTAAAAAAAAAATTAAATAAACTAAAATAAAAACGCTTTTAAGAATATTAATTTTTCTCTTCTTTCAATAAGAAATTTTTGAGTAGAAATTGAGTTTAATTAAAAACAAGTAAGAAAGTCTAAGTTCGGGCGGAGCCGAACATTAAATATCCGGCGCAAGTATTAAATATATGTTTTCCACCTTTCCGAAAACTACCGTTACTTGATAAGCCGGGGTGTATACATTTTAAGTAAATTAGCGTCTTTAAATTTCGAAATATTGAAATTTCAGGCATATCTGAAATTTACCGTTATATGAAAGCGGCCTAAATTTTAGTCCGATTTCAACAATTTTCAACGGTTTGCTTTTATGTGGCAAGCACAATAACCTTACCGAGCTTGGTACAAATTGCTAGGACGGTTAGCGAGATACTTATATGTGATCACAAGTGGGCGGTGCTACGCCCATTTTCCAAAATTTTGTCATAAACGTATTGCTTGGTAAAGAA